CAATAATAAAATAACCTTAGCTCACTATGATTTTTTAAAAACTATTTTACTCTTTGTAATAACACTTAAGTGTAAAACACATACATATTGTACAGTTGTACAAAAACACTTTCTTTAAATCCTGTATTCTACAAGCTTTAATTTGGTTAATTTTCTTTTTACTTTTTAAAGTTGTTTTGTTAAAAACTAAGATGCATACACATCAGCCTAGGTCTACACAGGCTCAGGATCATCAATATCATTGTCTTCTACCTTCACTTCTTTTCCTACAAGAAGGTTTTCAGGGGCCATGACACACATGGAGCTGCCACCTCCTTCGATAACAGTGACTTCTGGAATCTCTCCTAAAAGACCTGCCTGAGGCTGTTTCATAAGTAGAAAAAGTACTTTCTAAAATAATGATAAAAAGTAAAATATAATAAATACATAAACCAGCAACATAGTCATTTATTATCATCAAGTATTATGTACTGAACATAATTGTATGTGCTATACTTTTATATGACTGGTAGTGCAGTAAGTTTGTTTACCCCTGAATCACCACAGACTTGTGAGTAACGCCAGGTACTATGATGTCACTGGACCTAGGAATTTCCCAGTTCCATTATAATTTTATGGAACCATCCTCATATATGCAGTTTGTTGCTGACTCAAACATTCTGATGTGGCACATGACTATAAATCTGGAGATCAGGGTTAAAGTTTAGAATGATACATAAATTTATTTTACCAACATTCAAACAATATTCTTGAGACCAGAGAGTAAGGGGAAATGGACAAGAGACATAGTCCCAGGTCTCATTCTTATGAAACTCCAATATTTAGAAAATAGGAAGCAACTTGGGAGGCGGAGGCAGGAGGATTACAAATTTGAGGCCAGCTTCAGCAACTTTGTGAGATCCAGTCTCAAAATTAAAAAAATAAAATAAAAAGAACCAGGATTCAGCGCATGGTAAAGTGCCCCTGGGTTCAATTCCTAATACACCCGCCCCCCAAAAAAAAAGAAGAGAGAGAGAGAAAGATTGAGAAGATGGGAAAACACCAGAAAGACTGAAAAAACCAAGTAGTGAGTCAGGATGAAAACACAAAGGGTCAGTGTTATTATCATCAAGTATTATGTACTGTACATAATTGTATATGTTATACTTTTATATGACTGGCAATGCAGTAAGTGTAGTAAATTTGTTAGTCAGGAATTCTAACATGTGCTTTTTTTAAAAAAATACACAACAACAGTGGAATGCATTACAATCCTTATTTCACTTATACAGCACAATTTTTCGATCTCTGTATATAAAGTATGTTCACGCCAAATTATGCCATTATACATGTACTCTTTTTTTTTTTTCATTTAACGAACCAAAGTTTGTCACAGCACGTATATGTACATTTGATTAACAAATTGAGTGTGGGTCCTATCCATGCACCACAGTAGCTGATGGAAACGATCTGGTGAGAGGCAAGTACTGACTTTTTAAGAGAGCACAGTTACTTGGAGGAAACCCAATTAGTGAACCACATGAGCAGGGTACTAGATATTATAGGAAAACAAAGAAGGAGATGCCTGGTGGAAACTGGGAAACCAGTAAAAGACATTAAACAAGTAGGAACATGATGACACTGCCAAGGGACTAGACAGGAGGAAGAAAAGTGGTGGAAAGCAGATGGGATTGTTTTGGAACCCAGGGAGGAGAATGGAACCATCCATCAAGAGGTCAAGCCCAGGGCTGGGGATGTAGCTCAAGTAGTAGCGCGCTCACCTGGCATGCGTGCGGCCTGGGTTCAATCCTCAGCACCACATACAAACAAAGATGTTGTGTCCACCGAAAAACTAAAAAATAAATATTAAAATTCTCTCTCTCTCTCTCTCTTAAAAAAAAAAAAAAAAGAGGTCAAGCCCATGGACAAAATGACTGGTGGGCTGCAAAGGACAAGGGAAAAAGAGAAGTCTAGAATTCAGACTACTTAGTCAGGTACATGACTCATGCTAACACTGTAAGCAAAACAGGGATGGGGGAGTGAGAAGGTGGCAAGATGACCACCTTAGCTCTGACTGTGTTGCTTTTGAGGTATGCAGTTGTTCAGTAGTCCACTAACTGCAAGGTCTGGAATTCTAGGAAAAAATGTGGATTGGAGAGGGAGATTTGCACTTTATCAGACTGAAAGGTCAGTCTTAGCTGGTCATCTGGTTTCTCAAGGAAAGCCAGAAATCTGAACTTTTTAAATGTAAAATCTTCCAGTTTTAAAATGTAGCCAATCAAATAAAAACAACAACAACAACTGTGTACTTTATGTCCAAGGTGGTTCACAAACATGTGCTTTTGCATTTTAATCATATACACTGAAGAGAAATTAAGTGGCTAATAAGACTAATAAGTAGTAATAGAGCCAGAACTAGATCTTGAATCTAGATCTTGTAACAAAATATTTCTTTCTTTTGTGATTTTTGATTACACTGAAGAGTGTGTAGACTGAGAAGAGAGAAGGGCAGAGAGCAGAACTCTTGACAATTTTAATTTTAAGCCATTTCTAGAGGATTAAGCACCCAGAAAGATACTTTGAACAAGTAGGCACAAAGATAAGAAGTAAAGATGAGGGGAAAAGCAGAATCTAGACTGTGAAGAGTTTCTGAATGGGGAAGAAGTCCATGGTGTCACATGGCACAGAGAAGTCCAAGTTTATTCCTTGGGCTTAAGTAGAATATCCTCACCATGATCACCTAGTAGGTCAGTAACTTAAAAGTTCATGGCGTATTGCTAAAATAGCCTCAAACAATCACATTCTTTTATTTGTTTGTTTATTAAAAGTAATCCCATAAGTGAATCTATAATTATTTCAAAATAAGTTTTAAAAATATTCCCATAGTAACCATCTTTTAAAAGAGATTTGGAAACATTTATGTTTTCCAATAAGCCTCACATTACCTAAATGTAGGATCACAAACTTAAATATCTACAGGGACCAGGCAAGAAAAATGAAAGTGAGAAAAAGAATTCAGGGGAAAAAAACCTTCAAAAATCTGTAGAATACACGTCCTTCCTAAAAAGAACAGCCTTAGTCAGTTCTTAATACATTGCCATTTGGGACAATCTTGCCAGGTCATCTGGTTTTTTGCAGGGGGTACTGGGGATTGAACTCAGGGGCACTTGTCCACTGAGCCACATCCTCAGCCCTAGTTTGTATTTTATTTAGAGTTGCTTAGCACCTCACTTTTGCTGAGGCTGGCTTTGAACTCCTCCTGCCTCAACCTTCTGAGCAGCTAAGATCACAAGTGTGTGCCACCATGCCCAGGTAGGTCATCTGGTTTTTCAAGAAAAGTCAGAAACCTGAAATTACTTTATATAAAAATCTATCAATTTTAAAATGTAGCAAATTAATTTAAGTTTTTTACAGGATTGTGAATCCTGTAAAATTTCTTTTAAGTTCACATAAGAGAAATCCATCAATAGGTCCAAGATGGTTTTATGTTTGCTCTATTAAACATACTATGGTATAGCACTTTAATCTTATACACTGAAGGGAAATTAAGTGGCTAATAAGAGGCTTATAAGCAATAATAATGATTTAGAATCTAAATCATTTCAAAATATTTCCTTCCTCTGTAATTATAAAACTTCTTTATCTAAGAAATGAAATATACACATTGATTAGCTGAAGATACAAGTTAATAATCATGACAAGCTATGATAAATTTAGGAGTGATGGCCTAAACTTTATGTTTAATTACTTCAAATGCTCTGTCTCTTCTGAAATGTTTTTAAGTACAAGCTCCAGAAAATTATTATGATTTATCAAATCAATTGTGCATGCCTAACAAATGTTGCTTTAAATTAATAGGAAGGACACAATTCTGTCTTTAAGCAAAATTATAACTCAGTGAAACGAATATCTTTAGAACCAAGTTTTTAAGATAACATCATGTAGATATGTAAATTTCTGGAGAAAAGTTTAATTATTGCTGGTAGAAAGCTAGACTCCAAATTTTAAGATATTAAGATTTTATTTACTTATAATATAGACTATACTCATCCATCTATGCAACATATATTGTGAACCTACTGTTCAGTGAATAGTCTCAAGCTTAGAAGACATACATTTAAACTAATAATCTCAATAAATCCTGGAGGTAAGTACTACAGTTAACCATGAGGAAGGGGTTAGCATAGCTAATTGTCTTTGTTCTTATTAACAGTCCTCTAATGTGGAGTATGCTGATTTTTCAAAAACCAGGTATGATAGCTTCAAAGACAGAGAGTTTGGTGGGAATAGATCCAGGTGTTTGGGCTGCTAGTCCATAACTAAGAAACAGAACAAAAAAAGGAGTCTTTCTTTTTTTTCTTCTTCTTCTTTTTTTTGGTGGGGGTGGGGGTGAGAGGGTGGGGGGTACCAGGAATTTAATTCAGGGGCTCTAAACCACTGAGCCACATCCCCAGCCCTATTTTGAATTTTATTTAGAGACAGGGTCTCACTGAGTTGCTTAGCACCTCGCTGTTGCTGTGTATCTTCTCTTTCTCAAGAAGTTAATACACTCCTTTGTGCATGCCTTTGTAAAGTAACATTTAGCTGTGTCCTCTGAGTTACAGCACTCCAACTCATATCATGTTTTMTTTTTCTTTTGGGAGTCACAAACTAGTTTGAACTTGAAAGACGTTTTCTGTTGCAGGGAGAAGCATGTCGGTTAGAAGCAAGAGAATCGGTTTGGTGCCAGGGTCATCAGAATCTAGCAGCGTTTGCATAAAACCTAATAAAAATCCCAACCCACCAGTTTTTCTGGGGCTATTTAGTATTCTCGGCAAAATCAGAACGTGGCCTCAAGGTGTCACTGGGCTTGGCTCAAGCTTTTGCCTAGAGTTTGGCTAAGGAGTTCTGAAATTAGGAACAGGGCCTGTATTTACTGGGTGAAATGTTATTTACAGTCGGGGCCTGAGGAAGCCAAAGCCGACAACAGCTGAGCTGCAGCGCGGTGCCGCCGCCATGCAAGCAGGTCACACACTGCTCACCTTCACAGTCAGTCTCCGGCCGTCCCCAAGCCTCCTGGCCCTGGGCCGGCACCGGATTCGAGACCCAAAGCCCAGCACAAAATGCCATCACGGCAGCGGGGCTAGCGCACCGCATGCTGAACCAGCAGCTCTAATCGCCTCTACCACTCGCGCGTTGCTGAAGGTTTCTACAGGACCTACCGAAGAGATTGGAAAGAATCTGCCCAGAGTTGCTAGGACAAATGACGCAACTCGATAGAGAGTTTCTACTGGCTCTTATGAAAGGCACAAGAAAGGGGGAGGAGCTAAGGACCCTCTTCCTGTCCCTCACCAGTTTACGCGTGCGCAATATCGCACGCGCTGTGCGGCTCCAGGGGAGAGCGGAGAGACGCACTAAAGCCATTCGCAGACTTTTCGGAAAGGAAGGCGGGACCTTCACACTGATTGGTGGCAACGCGGGAGGCTGGCTTGTCAGACCGGACGCAGTGGGCGGGCGGGAACGTGAAGTCTCCGCGGTGCCTGATGGGGCTGATTGGTGGCGGATAGCTGTTGCCTCTGGGGGTCCCTTGGTTACTGCCGCCGCTGTCCTTGCCGCCTCATGGCGGCCATCGGAGTCCACCTGGGCTGCACATCAGCCTGTGTGGCGGTCTATAAGGTGAGATGCTGAGGAAGTTGGGCTATGGATTTCATGTCAGGTACCCCGTTCTCGGCACCGTGTTATATACAGGTTAAAGACGCCGTGTGTTGTCGGCCTACAAACGTCGCGTGAAGGCGAAGGGCCGAGGAGGCCCGGCCTCGTATCCTGCGGCTTATTTGGCAAGCCCGCTGCGTCCTGGTTGAGGCTTCTGGCTACGCAGATGCTCAGGTTTCGAGGATGCCCAAAGGGATCCTGGGGACGTCGGAGCTAAGGGATGCCAGCAGGGTTCCGGGTACTTCAGGGCCGCAGGATGCCCAGAGGGGTTCCAAGGATGTCAGGGCCACACGGTGCCCGGAGGAGGCCTGGAGATTTTGTAGCTGTAAGGGTTGCTTGGAGAGGTCTCGGGGATGTGGTCAGAGGATGTCTAGAGGGTTTCGGGAGATCTCAGTGCTTCAGAATACCCAGAGGAATCCCCGAGGCAGGGAGTACGTTTTGGCTGCAAAGATGTTTGGATATATCAGGACCGCAGGATGCCTGGAGAGATCCCCATGAGGTCCTGGCCACAGGATTCCGGAGGGGTCTTAGTGATATCAGGGCTGCAGATGCTCAGAGGGGTCTCGGTGACGTCATGGTCTCAGGATTCCTAGAGGTGGGCAGTCTCTTTGGCGTCAGGGCCACCGGACTTGCTGAGTTTGACCTTGTGTCTGGGATCCAGAGGGGCGGGGTGCGAAGATCTGGAAGCTAACCCCAGCGCGCCTGGCTGTGAAGCAAGTAGATGGGAAGTGCTCCTCGGACGTGGTCTTTCTGAGAGTTCAACAAGAAGTTGTGGCCTTTCTCTCATCAATAACAAGACAGAGGGAAAATAATAACGAACTCCCTTGTTCCTAGCCCCGCATTTAAATGTCAGATGTTTTGTTAAGGAAAGTCCACAGGGATTAGTGCTACTTCATTTGTGGAAAAGGAAAGAAAGATGTATTTGTAGGAGATAGCCTGATGTAATAGATGCTTGTTATTATCTTGTATAGAAAGGTTGTTATTATGTTTGATCCAATAGTTGACTTTGCAGAGCAGACTGAAAAACTGAGGCAGTTGTTCATGTAATGTTAGCCGTCCATAAAACCTAGGGAATTAGTAGTGGTAATTAAGTCTACCATTTTTAAATATTGATAATAGTAACTTTCTTTCCATCTAGATGGCCCACATTCATTTTAAAATCTCCTTCCCCCTGCCTCCCTACTAGTGCCAGGTATTAAAAGAACTAATACTGTTGTGTTTTTCTCTAGGATGGCCGGGCTGGTGTGGTTGCAAATGATGCAGGCGATAGAGTTACTCCAGCTGTTGTTGCTTACTCAGAAAATGAAGAGGTACATTTCTCCTCATTTTAGTATTTAGAAGAAAAATTACATGCATTATAATATGTTGTTCTTTTTCAGGTGGTGGGATTGGCAGCAAAACAAAGTAGAATAAGAAATATTTCAAATACAGTAATGAAAGTAAAACAGATCCTTGGCAGAAGGTATGGAACAAAATGATACTTTTAAATATGGTAACAAAAACATGTTTATAAATTCTAGGCTTAATATGAAGTTAAATGGAACTAGAAACATCACAGTTTGTTATTTGTTGCTTTTTATGACTGACTGAGTCCTTTGAGACTACCCCAGTAGGACTGTTTCTTTTGATTATTATTGTTGGATCTTATCAAGGATGGAATTCACTCAGATATTTGATTTCTTGCTGACAGGTCTGTTGGTATTGAGTGCCAGAGGTGGTAATTTGGACTTTTCACATTTTTATATTATTATTATTATTTTTAACTGAAGGAACTTGAAAGATTTTGTGGGATTTTGAAGATTTCTTTGTGTGGTACTTGGATTTTTCAAGATCTATTATAATTGGTCATAATTTATGTAGATGCTATTGATTTTCTTTCTTAAGGCCCTCTGTGACACTTTCTGGGAACTGACTTTTCCAGTTGGCTTTCAAATTTAATCATTAGAGAAACAGCTTAATTAATGTCTTATGTAAGAATCAGGTTAATCATCTGTTCTCACTTTAATTAGAAGATTAAAGAGGCTTTCTTCCTCAGACTTCTGTCTCCTCAAATTGTAGATTATCATAATAATTAATAGTTTTCCTTCACTAGAGTAGTAGTACTTGATAGAGTGTTTTTAAAATTTTTCAGGTGCTTTCACATCTATTATTTTATTTCATCCTCTGAACATCTCTATAGAAATTGGTAGGGCAGGTACTAACCTTCCCCATTTATGGATGAACAAATCATGGTACATGGAAGTGGTGGCATATTTAAATTTTAGAAAGGTGAAGTAGATAAGACTTCAGTTCAGGTCTCCTAATCCTCAGCCTCAGGTTCTGTCCTTCCCCCTGCCTCCCTACTAGTGCCAGGTATTGAACCCAGCTACATGCACAAGTTCTACCATTGAGCTATATCCCCAGCCCTTGTCTTTCTGCTTTATCTAATGAAAATTTAAGTGGACATATCCTTGTGTTGATTTTAAGATTTAGAGATTACAGATTAATGTTCATTTCTGTTACACGTGCAGGGTTTTATAAAATTATCTCTTGATATTTTTAATTAAATACAACTTGATATTAATATTTTTACCTTAGGATGTCCAGAGACTAAGCCAAAAATTATAGCATTTTGGAGAGAATTCAGATATTTGTGATGAAAAATTTATTCCCATATCCTTTAACTTATTGGTAAAACTTAGTTCAAAGCATGCTAGAAACAAATTGGCTAGTGTCAAATATTTTTCAAATCATGAACTGGAAAAAAAGCAAGTGATTATAATAGGTCTTGAAGCCGGAATCACTGAGAAGCCAACAATTTGATTTCTTGAGGTAATTATGATTTTACGTGGTATTATAAGAAATAAACAGAGGCATCCAATGTATTATTGAATTTACCAGTTCCACCAATAGTAACTTATGGCATAATTGTAAGACAATATCACAATCAAGATACAGATATTGATATAGCCAAGATACAGAATATTTGCATAGATCTGTTGCCTGGTAGCCAATAATATATATGTGTATTTTGTTTTGTTTCTTTTATGCTGCTATATGGGGGTGGATGGTTAGAGTAATGAAATAGCTATCTTCTGCCATGTTATGTGGAAAGTGTTGTATTAGCAGAACAACTGAAACTCACTTTTCTGGCCCTGAAAGTAACCTTTTAGTAGAGAAGTGCAATAGTGGCAATCACATGGATAACAAATAGCCACAACATGCTAGTTAGGTTAAGGTTAGTAAAGGACAAGTATCCTTCAGATATATTTTGCTTTCATCATGGTCCTGCCAATACTTCTCTAGAGTTAGTACCTCATGATCCAGGTTATTTTTCTCTTCAGCCTGTCTACTTACTAGAGGATGGGGATTTTTACAGATCCATAATTGTACTAGGTGTTAACCCTGAAAGCATTTGGCTCTTTGTGGAGAAGCCAGTTCTTTTGTGAAGCCCCTGGTCCAGTACCCACCCTGGGCAAACTCCCAAAGTTGGGCTTTCTCAGTCTTGGCCTCATGCCTATTTATGATCTACTCACAGGTAGCATTACTTAATTTGCTGCCAAATGATCCTTACACCCTCCCTGTAACTCTCATTCCCCTGTGGCTTTCCAGCCAGAAATGCGGTCCTTGGACCTGGCATCTCAACAATTAGCTCTGAGAGGGAAGAATCGGCTGGCTCCTGGAAATGTACTGAGAGTACACAGAGCTTCCCCACACCTTCAAATTTGCACCTTGCTGCCAGGAGCTTGCTTCAATAGCCTTCCTTCCTTCCCAACCCACTATGGCCACTTCCAATAGCAGTGCGGGCATCCGGTGGTCCAGACAGGAGACACGAACTCTTCTCTCCATACTAGGCGAGGCAGAGTATATTCAACGCCTCCAGACTGTGCATCATAATGCAGATGTCTATCAGGCTGTGTCTAAGCGAATGCAGCAGGAAGGCTTCCGACGCACCGAACGTCAGTGCCGCTCCAAGTTTAAAGTTCTGAAGGCATTATATTTAAAGGCCTATGTTGCCCATGCCACAAGTATGGGTGATCCACCTCACTGTCCATTTTATGATACGTTGGATCAGCTTCTCCGAAATCAGATAGTGACTGACCCAGACAACTTAATGGAGGCTGCTGCTTGGGCCAAGCACTGTGATCAGAACTTAGTTGCCTCTGACATCCCAGGGGAAGAGGGAACCAGCATTCTGAAAGCAAAAAGGAATCAGACAGCTGATCGTCAGACTATTTTGAAAACAGTTAAGGAATCAGATGAGGATTGTCAGCTGAGAATCAGTGACCGGATGCAAGAATCCAGTGACCTCGAGGACTCCTGGGCTGAATCCTCGGGTGCAGGGTGCTCTCAAGGGACCCCCAGCTACAGCAGCTCCCACAACCTTTTCAGAGGTGCAGCTGCTCTCTGTCAGAGCAGCCCTATGACCAGACGGGGTATGTCAGGTGAACCCAGTCCCTGCACCAGCAACAGCCGAAACACTCCTTGTGTAGCCTCCACACCGCGGCCTCCAGTCTCCTCTTCCAGAGTTGGTTTTGTCTCTGGCGAGGATAGGCCTT